AGATAGATAGATAGATAGATAGATAGATAGATAGATAGATAGATAGATAGATAGGTGATATACAGACAGACAGACAGACAATATTTCTTTGGGGGCATATGAGCATACAAAGCTGACCTGTGACCTTGTACTAACACCATTTTCCTGGATGTGATCCTGTTTTCTGCCATACAGGTTGCTACCACCAGAAGACACTGGGAACTGAGCACAGTTCTTTCCCTCACTGTGTGGCTTCTTATGAGACAATATTTATTTCAGACTTTTAGGAAGTTGCACAGACTTCTCATCTGGTCTGTCTTCTGCTCCCACCCCATCCCAAACCTCGTGTTGTGTTGAACAAGTGGAAAGTGAAATGATCTGTTTGCTTCTAAGGGAGGAATCATCAGGGGTGACCTTGGGGACCACAGAGAGATTGAAGATCCCATTTTCCAGAAGCTGTAACATAAGGTAGACAGGAAATAGGGGCTGTAATGACCATGTGCCAGTGAAGGGGGCACAAGAGAATCACTCTGTTCTCCCTGCACTGAGGTCAGTTTTCACATTTTGCATCTAAGACAGAACAAAGCCAGTCCCGCCCCAACTTGTCCCAGCCTTTCTGAGATGACAGAGTCTCTCCTGGAAGTGACAGGAGAAAAGGCCTGGAGGTCTGATCACACAGAGTCTCCGTGGAAAGATGGCCTTCCTTCCACAGTGAGATATCAACTGGAAAACAGAAGAAACCGGTATTACCAGTCACCCAAAACGCAATAAAACCAACAATGAAGCTGCCAAGCGTGGAAGAAATATGTTATATCGACAAAGAAGGGTACCCTTCTCTTGTATTCCCCAACAATGCCAAGACTCACCAGGAAGGGATACCTTGTGACCACTTGGGTTTTTGAAAAGATTTATTTCTTTTTTGTTTGTGTGAGAGTATATGTCACATAGTGCAGTGCCCATAAAATCCAGAAGAGGGCGTTCAATCCCTGTCCCACGCCTGGTCTCGCCAGCAAGAACCACACGGGACACAGGATCCTTCTGCAGAAAAGCTTTAATGCCCCTTGGGAGAGCGAGCATCAGCCAACATGGCCGGGGACCCAGATATCAAGGAACCCATCCCTTAAATAGGAAAACAGTCCTTGCTTCGGACGTGTCACTCTTGGATAGGTCAACTGTCCATTATCCCAGATGACGCCTCGGGAGTAGGCGGGGACTCAGTGGAAAGTTACTGCGCACCTGTGCGCTCACCTTGCGGTGAAACCAGATGTCAGCACCATCTTGTAATGGAGAATGTGGCTGCGGCCCTCTACAAATCCCCTGGTGCTGAGTTGGAGCTACAGATAGTTGTGAGCTGCCCCAGATGGGTGCTAAGAACCAAAGTCAGGTTCGTAGAGCCATGAGCACTCATACCTGCTGAGCCTCCTCTCCAGCCCTGACGGCTTAGAATTTTGATAAAGCACCAGCCCCAGCTTTGTCAAGTAGTTGAATTCTAGGCACCACAATCTGTAAAGGACGTCAGTGTTTCTTAGTGTATGTGCATGTGTGAATATGGGTATTCACATCCACATGGAGGTGTGTGTGTGTGTGTGTGTGTGTGTGTGTGTGTGTAGGCATATGTATGCATGCTTGTACAGAGGTCAGAGGGCAACATTGGGTGTAATTCCTCAGGTACCATTCATCTTGGTCTTGTTTTTTCTTTTCTCTTTGAGACAAGTTCTCTAAACAGCCTGAAACACATTGAACAGCTAAACTGGCTGGTTGGTGAACCAAGGGGATTTGCCTGCCTCTGTTTGCCAAGTGCTGGGGTCACAATGCTTGCTATAACACATGGCTTCTTTTACATGGCTTCTGGGAATTGAACTCAGGTCCTCAGACCTGTAAATCAAGTGCTTTGCTTACTGGCATGTCCGCCCAGCACACTGATGTTTCCCTTCAAGGTATGCTTACAGTTAGTACACCCATCATTCTTATTCCAGACACAGTTTTAGACAGCCTGTGCACCACAGTAAACAAAACGGACAAAGAGCTCTTCCTATCCATTGAAGCATATATTCAAGTAGGAATAAACAAGCAAAAATAATAAGCATTTAAAATAAGAATTGTGATTGTATATGAAGTAGCAAAGGAAAGGAATAGTGAAAATGACATTCAGACAGACTTGAAAAGGGGTGGCGAGGTGAGGTACAAATGTGTGGATGCTCCTGGAAATCAAGAAAATCTATGGCCTGCCCTCTGGGCAGCCATGTCAGGGAAGAACAAAGGCTCACATTCTAGAGTATGGAACGAGATGGGGCCTTCTACATGAGAAAGAAAACTGTCTAAGGTAAAAGCAGGGTTGCTCCATTCCTGTTACTACTTCCCAAGCTTCATGCACATCAAAAAAAAATGACTAGCTTGTGAGAAAACAGATTGTTGGGGCAAGACTTCCATAGTGATATACTGGAGAGCCTAGACACCTTGCTTGGTCTCATCTTCAGTAGTTGCAATGCTCAGACATTTCTTTGCCAAGGCTGGTATTACCCTCATAGCAAAACCAGAAAATGATACCATAGTGGGGAAGACTGACAAAACAAAAACAAGTAAACCAAAAATACTGCAACCTAATGTCCCCAATAGTGCAAAAATCCCTAACCCAATACTAGCAAGGCAAAGTTCAACAGCGCTGTGGAAGAACCACTGGTCATGATTAGATGCCACGTGCCTCTGGAATGCAAGGATAGTTCAATCGCTGCAAAGCACCAAAGTGCTCCGCAAGGTTAAGAGAATGAAGAGCACCCTCCGTGCTCCTCTCTCAGCAGAAGCAGAACACACATTTGCCAAGATAAACACACTTTTGTGATAAAACTTCTTGAGCAATTAAGTATGGAAGAAATGTACTTCAATATAATAAAGTCTGTAGAAGACAAGCCTATAGGCAAGACCTGACTCAATTATGGAAAGTTAAAAGTGTTCCTTCCAATACGGGAGCAAGACAAAGCTGTCCAATCACCATCTCTATTCTCAAAGCACTGAAAGCCCTAACCAGAATAATCATTCCAAAAAAGACATTGAAAGCAGAAAAGATGGTGTTAAATTTTAACTGGATGCAAAAGGAGCTGCCTTTCAGACCACGCACTTTAAATCACTGCAGTGAGACCCAAGTCTTTATTCATCAAAATAGCAATTATACAGTCAGTACACCCTTGCCAATGAGAAAGGTTTGTTTATTCCTGTATTGCAAAAACCCATGCTTTGGGATTTGATGGGCTCTTGGAAAGTCTTCCTGCATCCTGCTGGCTGTGGGAGCATTTTCCCTGCAGAAAGCTGTCGAGACCCTTGAGGAAGTGGTCAGTCAACAAGAGGGTGTGAGAACGGTGAGTGAGGAAGACACTGTATCTGTGTGAGTTTGGTTTCATAACTTCAAACAGACCACTGTATTTTGGCCCAAGGGCGGCCACAGTTCCGAGAATTCCTCAATCGAGCCCTGGACAGCAGCGTCTTTCTTCGTCTCCCTTGATACCTTGGGAGGAGATGTAATCCTACTGGAGCCTGGTGTGGAATTACTGGTCCCCGGAGTCACAGAGAAAACTGCCTGAAGTGAGTCACACTCAGCAGTGGGCAGGCTCCCCAGCTCTCTCCCGGGATCTGGGCTCACAGCCCTGTCTGTTGGGTCAGCGCCACCCACCAGCCCCATCTCCCCTTATCACACCCCTCCACTGAAGTCTGAGAGTTTGGTTTTTTTCCCCTTCCATCCCTCTCTCTTTTATACTTTTTCCTCCTGATCTCACTCCTCCATGTTTGGGAAAGTGAGTATCCCACTCCGAATGGAAAGCTTGAAGCATGGATATATAACCTATTACTGGAGATGAACCCTGCTGAGAATTGTCTGTTCCATTTTCTTGAAGTAAATAACTAACTGTCTTTTCTCAAATGGATAGACAATTAGAACTCACCCATTCTTTCCCCATGGATGTGACATCCGGTTGTCACTGCCTCATGTACATCCTCTTACTGCCATGAAGCTGGCTTAAAACTGTGGTTCCACAGGTCAGGTTGTTGGCTGTGTTAGTACCATCCTGTTTTCATACAACAATAGCTATGGCCTGTAGGGCCCGAGTCTACCCTTGCTCCTGGGGTGCATCTTGAGGACAGTTTCTGGTCAGCAGCTAAATATCCTGTTTGTTCCTGTGCTCCCTCTGCCTTGCCTGGTGATTAGCTGTAGGGCATTGTTTCATCTTTGGTATGGTAATTTCCCACCTGCCTGGGCGGAAATCCTTGTGCAGCAGCTAGGTATAATAGGATTTCCCCAAAGTTGAATGAATGGCAGTCGGCTGATCTCCTTTTGAATGACCCAGGTCTCTTGTGTGTTCTTTCAATCTCCAGGCCCTTGCCCTACTCGCTTATGGTACAGTGGTGCGCGAACAGTACTGAGGAGGTAACACAGAATCGGGTGTTACAATGGCCATTTCAGACTGTGATTGGCTGCATGTCCCCAAATTCTCATAAGAGTGTCCCAGGCAAGTAAAACAAATTGCCCTTCTGTGACCAAATCCACAGGTGCTGGTCAGACCTGGCAACTCAGGCAGGACAAGTCCCAGACAGGGCCTCTTGCCCACTGTTCACCTGTGGCTTTGGAGTTTCTGATTATCTGGAAGCCAGTGGGTACCTAGACATCTTTCGCAGAAAGGATGAAGGGGTGGGGCAAAGGGAAAAAAGTGATCTCTGATCTGAATGTAGCCTGTTTGTCAGGAAGTTTCCTTGAAGAATCTCACAAGACAGCTTTGCTTGAATCTGAGTAGAAAGAGCTACATTTGGGAGCCTCTCTGAAGAGAGAAATAACATGAAAAGTTGATGATGTCAGCACCCCAAAAACTTCAGGAGTGTTAGCAATTAGGTGGGCAAATGAATGCTGGATGATGAACAGGGCATGTCATGATGAACTTGTTTTTCTGTCCACTCAGACTGTATTCCTTCCCTCCCACTCTCCTAGAGGGAGAGAGGAACAATCACCAGCGGCAGGACGCAGACACAGAAAAGTAGCACCTAGAGCCACTTCACGCTCAGGAGAGAAAGCTACGTCTCATTCTTGTGGTCTCGGGTGCTCTACAGTGAGAGAAACTTCTCTAGTAGCAAACCATAGAAACAATCCCTGCAAGTAACGGCTTAGAAGTCCAATCTTTTAAACCAGGATACTCACGTTTATTTATCAGTGTCAACGGGGAAGCCTGATTGTCAGTCCTTGGCTGTCACATTAAGGCTGAGAATAAAATGACTCGGCTTCCTATTTATTAAGATTTTCCTCTAACGCATTCAGTGATGCTTGCCAGGTTTGTGGATGCAGCTCTGTTCTCAACAATACAGTCAACGCTGAACAACGGGGGTGTGTTCCGAGACAGTATCCTCTCTGTACCAACTTCAGGGTGCTTTCACAACACGGAGGGCTGGGGCAGGCACTGGATGTCACCTCTCGGTGCAGTCAAGAGCTGCAGAAGCACCGAGTGTTAAGGCTGCTGCCAGCTGCTGAGGCCCAGTTAGCAGGAAGTTCTGCCTTTAGGGGGAGGCCAGTGAAACAAAGGCTGAGAGGGGAGCAAAGACATCAGCCAGCAGCTGGGAACATGGAGCGGTTGCTAGAAAGCCTGTTTAGCATGCACAAAGCCCCAACGATCTAGTCCCACCCCTGTATAAACCAGGCATGCGATGCACACCTGTAATCCCAGCACTCGGGAAGTGAAGAGAGAAGGAGCGGGGAGTTCAATGTTCTCTTTGGCTGCATAGCAAGTTTGAGACTAGCCTGGAGTACACGAGACCCTGTCTTTAAAAATAAAAAAGAATATAAACAACAAGAAGAAGAAACAAGCAATCGTTGCCTGACAACATTATCAAGTGCTGTGCCCTGTACACAGCTGCACGTTTGTGCTCCTGGTTGGAGACACAGTCAGGGATTTGGAATCAGCATCAACATACACACACACACACACACACACAAACACATGTATACACATACAGATACATACATGCACATAAGCACACATAGACATACATACATACATACACACAGACATACACATATACACACAGAGACATACACATGCACATACATAAATTGACACATGTACACATATAGACATATGCATACAAATGTTTGCACACAGAGACACATACACACAGACACACGGATATACATATATACACATACACACACATGCATACACACGGGAGGGGTAGCTTGATACTGACTTTGCCATGGCTGTATCAACTCCACTGTCATCTCACAGGCCCACCTTCACATGTGCTTCTCAGTCTCGGGAACGGCATTGTCGCTCATGTTATATCCTGCTTTTCCTGCCTTGCTACCAGGACATTATGTGATGCACCGTTCCATTTCTGACCTGAATCAGAATGCATCCCATTTCTGATATAGATTTTTATGGGGGCTGCTGGGAAAATGGCTCAGTGGGGAAGTGCCATTGCTGCACAAGCAGGAGAATCTAAGTTCGAATCTTCTGAATCAGTGGCAAAACGTAACTCCAGTGCTGTAAGAGGTGGAAACAGGATGGTCAATGAACTTGCTGGCCAGCTTAGCTCTGAGTTCAGTGAGAGAGACCCCATCTCAAGGGAGCAAGGCAGACAGTGAGAGCGCAGGATGCCCAATGCCCTCCTTTATCCTGTGTGCAAACATGCATGCACACACCTGTACATATACACACACAGTGTTCTTGGATCCCATAGGCTTAGCCAATCTCCTGATGTTATTCATGTCTCAGGATTTGCTGACTTTTATTACAAGTGTCAAATTTTAGCAAATTGGAAATAATATACATGTTGATGCTTACTAGTATGCTGTGTTAAATACACTGAAGGGAGAGAAACCATCTCTTCTTTGTATAAGGCTATTGACTATTCTAGCGGTTTCTCTCCACCCTCACCTGCGAGTAAGACTGACTTACCGGTTTCTGTTTCTATTGCGCTTTTCCCATTTGACACCAGGTTTCCGCTATCGTCATAAAGCAGGAGTTTGATTTCTTGGGCTCTTTGGCATTTAGGACACAGGATAGAAACGTATTTTCCCTGCAGGTTCTGCGCAAATCTCCCATAAAATCATTTGCGGAGGTGACACTTCTCATCCAGTTGCAGGTGCTGTGCAAGGGCTTCTGGGAGTCATTTTAACAGAATATTTAGTTATTCTGTGTCGTCTTGAGTTGATTTTGGCAAGACAGAACATCTTAGGAACTTGACTATTTTATTCCTTCTTTTTTATTTCTTTTCTTTTTATTATTTATTTGAACATTTTCTTCTCCTGCTCCTTTTCATCTCCTTGGCATCTAAATCACAGCTCTGGAGCTATTGTACAGGAGGGCAGTGTCTAAATCACAGCTCTGGAACTATCTTACTTGGGGGGGCAGTGCCTTTTCTCTTTTTCTTTTTCTCAATCAAGTTATCAAACTTGTCTATTTCTGTAGCCCATTCAAAGAATTCCTTTAGTATCAGATGGTGGCTCCCCCAAAGATTGGTCCATGACTTGATGACCCCAGAATTGGTGGATGTCACCATATTTATAGAAAGTCTTTGTATATTGTTCTAGTTTATGTCTCCCAGGTCAAAGTCCACTCACGGGTGGGAAGGGAAGGTTTCCTGCATTATATAACCCCCAGGTCATAATCCATCCCGTGAGGAAAGTCAGGGCAGGAGCTCGAGGCTGGAAACTGGAGGCAGAAGCTAGAGCAGAAGCCACGGAGCGGTGCTGCTTACTGGCTTGCTCCCCATGGCTTGCTCAGCCTGCTTTCTTGTACAATCTAGGGTCACCAGCCCAGGAGTGAGCTGGTCCTCTCTCATCAATCATTAATCAAGAAAATGCCAAAGTCAGCAAAGGACACACATGGTCCGTCCCCGCCCCCCAGACTTCTTGGTCTGAGGGGACACAATCAGCCAGGAGCAACTCGGCCATACCGAGCGCTGCCCGAGGTTTCTAGGCCCGGGCATGTGCAAGAAGAAAAGCAACAGCTCTGCGGGGTTGGCAGGACTCAACCAAGCCCCACAGTGACCCAACCAAGAGCCCTGGTGCCCAGCAGCTGGACACCATTATGGTGAGCCAGTACAGGTGGGGAAATGGAAGAGAGAAAGGCAGAATAGTTCATGAGTATTGCAGGCAGCTCAGACTCTTGGTCTTGTTCCACCGGCCACCTACCTTCCTGTTGTACAAGTCCCTAGGAGGTGAGTGACCGCTCCACACACCCTGTCAGATCCCCAAGACTCAAGTCAAAAGCCCTGCACTATGGCACACACCTGGGAGACAGTCAGGCGGGTCTCAGGTGCTCTCTGGCCGGTTTGTCTAGCCGATTGGTGAGCTGCAGGTTCTGTGAGAGACCCTTTGAGAGATCTCAAAAAATAAAGAGGGGAACTATAGAGTAAGACACCTACTGCTGACCTCCAGCCTCCACATGAACACACATGTGTTCACATACAGGAACATACACAGAGAGACAGAGACAGAGAGAAACACAGAGGGAGTTTAGAGAGGAGAGGAAGGACCAGACTGTGTGGTGTGATGGTTTAAAACAAAGATGGGGCAGGGCAGTTAGTTCATCCTATCTTAGTATTCAAAGCCTCCACATTCCCTGCCTAAATGGGATATTAGTGACCCTGAGTTCAGATACTGCTGACGTATTGATTAATAGCAGATGCTGGAGAAAGAAGAGTCTATCGCCACGGTATCCAACTCCGGGCTTGGCCCCAGGGCCCCTTCCCCACGGTGTCAGACACAGAGGTGGTTGCGTATCTGGGAAGTGCTGCACTACTCGCTGGGTATGAAGGGAATTTCAGGTTTTTCCTCCATGAGATTAGAGGACCAGGGGCTCCCAGGTCTGAGAAGAGAGCAGGTAGATGAGAGGCGGGAGAAAAGCAACAACTACCCTGGTCACACGGTTACCCAAAAATCATAGATGAGACGATTGAAACCCAGAGAAGGCAAGCAACCTTCTCAAGGTCACACAGCTTGTAGGAGACACCAAAGCTCCATTCTGACCTCAGTCACACAGCGCAGTCTCTCTTGATCCTTTGTGGTTCTGACATCTTAACAGTGATTCAAAACAAAAACAGAACAAAACAAAAACCACAGACAGCAAACCCAGAGACCTATTATGTACAAAATCCTTTTGAAGTAAAGAACCAAACAGTTTAATTTTTAAGTGAGACTGAGTTGGGTACCAGTTTCAAAGAAGAATTTTTATACAATGTAACATCTATGATGGAATCAAAAAATACAGCGATTATTACCAATAAACCAGGTATCACAAAGATAACGTGTCTACATTTGAGTGAAACAAACAACCCAAGAAGAGGCTAAAATCTTGGAGGAGGATGCAGTGTGGGGTCCCGAAGGAGTTAGGGGGTTGTGGATGCCATCAAAAGACATTGCTATGTATGTGTGAAATTCTCTAAGAAGACATAAAACATTTTTTAAAAATGCAAGAGTTGGGAGCTTTAAAAATGGTTCAGCGATTAAGAGCAATGGATGCTCTTCCAGAGGGTCCAGGGTTCAGTTCACAGCATCCACATAGCAGCTCACAACTGCATGTAACTCCAGATCCAAGGGATCCATCTTCCTCTTCTGGCCTCTGCAGGCAACAGGCTTACACATGGTATGCATACATACGTGCATGTAAAACCCTTACACACATAAAGTAAAACTTGAAATGTAAAAAACTTAATGTAAGCTTTGTGTGATATAGATTTTGTCTCTTTGTGTGCACCTGTATATATGATACTAGGGATGCAACCCAGGGCCTCTTCAATATTGGACAAGTGTTTTACCACTGAGTTTTTTTCCATGGACTGTGTGTGTGTGTGTGTGTGTGTGTGTGTGTGTGTGTGATCTATTATTTAATTTGAGAAAATATTTTGCTAGGTAGCTCTGGGCCTGGAATCCGTTATATAGACCAGGCAGGCCTCAAACTCAGCTGTCCACCTGCCATTGCCTCCCAAGTGCCGGGATTCAAGGTGTGTGCCCCCATGCCTGGCATGTGTGTGTTTTAAGTTTTCAGAAACTGTCTCCTGAGATAGAAAGATTTTGCTCTGTAGTTCAGGCTGACCTTGAACTCAGTAGCCTCCCGCCTCCACTTGAGGATGGGATTAGGGAGCACACCCCAAGTCCGCTGTCAAGTCATAT